ATCAATTCGTGTTTCCAGCAGGTACTCCACGATTTTTTCTGGCATTCCAGCCATTACTGAGTAGCTGTAAACACACTGCTGCAAGCCATTAAACAGCACTTTTCTTAGAGTTTATGCATTCTTTGCATCTCTGCGATGCAAAAACGCACATTATGTGTATATATGGATGTATACATTCATGTATGCATGTATATATATATATGCATGTATGTATATGTGTGTGTATACACACATGTATGTGTGTATGTACACATACATGTATGTATTTATTTACGTCCGCATATTTTGATTTGCAGATCTATAAAAGCTAAGAAGATGAAATTTTGACGACTTAACTATCACTGTAAATGGGTCTTCTTTATTCCGACATATGACTTGTGGAAAATATCTTAGTGTGAGAACGATTTCGGGAATAAGGCAAACTAAAAAGTTGGAATTTTACGAGAGTGTTTCTTGCCCATGTGCATACTAACGCTTATTATTTGAGTATGGACATGTCAAGGTCCAATTTATCGTACTGCTGGCAAAATGTCAATTCGAGAATTAAAATGGGTAGAAAATAATGATTTTACAAGGATGCTTGTTATCCACCTGTAGATTAGGGTGAGGGCACGTGGATTACTCCAACTGCCCGTTGGAAAGCCAACCGACTGCTTACCCTTTCAAACGTTGTTTAGAAACAAGTTGATGATGGATTTGACCCCCTGACATATGCCAATATTCATTTACCACTTTAATGAGTGAGTCGTAAAAAGTTTGGTATTGCAGAGGAAAAGTTTATTTACTGCTCAAACTCTTACTGTCGCAGCTTTGCAGTCATTACAACCGCTGAGTGCAGTTACTCAAATCCGCCCTCTTAACAAAGTTTGTGGCTGGAGAAAACTTAATTAATAAACACGATCATTTCAAAAATTAAAGTTTTCACTACTCATGTTTCTCATTTTGGAAAATCAGAAGTAGAGCAAATCTGATGTCAATCAACCAAATCTTCGATTAGCAATTTTTCTTTTTCTCTAAATAAACAAGATGATTGAGTTTACGGCTTTAAATTGATCCCCATTTTTGCTTGGGAAGTATATCCGAAACAAATATTTCTGAAGACAAACAAATATCGGCTAGATTTTGGACGCATCAAAAGGTGGAAGAGTGGAAAAGCAGATAAAACAGCAGCAAAGTACTTTGGTGCAAAAATTAATCAAAATATTTTTTTAGCCCAAACCCAGGGTTGGCATAACAAAAGCTCAAAGGCAGAAAAATGCAAAAAATAAAAAATAATAATGATACAAAGGTTTCAGTTAGAAATTATTATGCCTGGAAAAGGACTGTTGAGTATGCTTGAAAAAAGCATCGAGCAAAACTTACCAACATCTTGTTCTCAAGCCAGCAGTTGAATCGCCAGTAACAGCTAGCGCCATAGCACCTGCAGCAACCGCAACCGCGCCACGGTACGGGTCGCCGACAGTTTGATATGTTGCATTCATCTTCTCCAACACCAGTACATCCTGCCCGTGCTCTTTTAAACGTACCGTGTCGCTTCGACATCTCGCAAAATGCTGCAAAACAGAACAATTTTTTGTTTTTGAAAAATGCTGATTATATCTGAACTCCTTGAAGTTTCAATGCATTACGTCTGGCAAGTACGAAAAAAAATCGCATCGAAGGAAATCAGGCCCGAATAGATTCCAATGATTTCTAGCTTATTCGGTTGAACGATTCAGAATTTTTTTCTGTCCTTCTTTTTAAAAAAGCATTTCAGGTCAGTGCCTGAGCAAATAATAACTTGTTTTAAAATTGAAAGATCAACGAATTATAAAAGATTGATTTCTCCTGACTGACTTCGAAATGAATGCTTAAATGCGGAAGAGGCGACGCGATCACTGTGCCAGTGCTTCTTGCTAACGGATCCAGCATAAATAGCCAAGCCTGCCCTAAACATCTCCACAAAAAGGCTTTATGTGGAGGTCGTTACGACAGGCGTAGAGATAAATTCTGGACAAAAGTATGTGTTTTTTTTGCAAAAACACGTAAAAATGCATACAGACGATAAAATCGCTGCAGAAAATGTGTTCTAGCGATAAAATATTGAACAAAACAAGACAGAAGGATGAAACTTCAAAAGAAAATCCTGTGTTTTTGCACGAATTAAAACTACCCAATTTAGATTTAATGCAGGCACGCATGCGGTTGCATCAAATTCGTTTTTAAGATATCGATAGCAACATATAAACTCAAAGACTAGGTCGGGCAGGGTGCTCTAATTTTTTGGAAAGTAATTTTCCTGAAAAATTTCAGGAAATTATACTGGTGCCTTACTTTCGCTTAAGTTACTTTTGGAACTTACTTTTGCTTGACTTGAGAAAATTCCAGGAAATTTTCTCACGTTAAGCGAAAGCAAGTTTCAAAATCATACTGATGCCGAATTAAATCTTTAGTCAGAACGAGTAAGAAGCAGCATTTTTATGAGAATGCTGATTATTCATATTTGGACTTGTTAGCGCAAAATGAGTTTCTTTTTACTCATGTGTCTCGTTCTCAGATTTCTCAAATGTTCAAATTGCAACGCTTTCATCATCCTTCCTCAGTAGTCCAATAAGCGAGAATGCACGTATTTTGAAGGAATGGTTGCAAATTTTGTGCGGAACTAAAAGCGCAGTATCGTTTCTCATAAACGCCTAAGTTTCGTGTGCATACACCGCAAATTAGAGATTATAAAATCGTCGGCAAACTCTCTTCACGGTAATCGTGCATGATGGAGATTGAGGCATGACGCAGCCCTATAGTGCAGCACTTTCATCCCAATTATTAGCCGACATCCGTTTTCCATAAGCAGCAACCCATCGTACTGTCAAAGCTACGTCGAGACAGCAAACTGTTGTGACCGATGCAAAATACTATAGGGTTAGTTTAATTCACTGATAAACTCGCACACATTTAATAATCAGATCTTGGATCTGGTTAGAGCAGCACACATCCACTACAACAAGACTAAAGGAATCAGCGAATTACTGCATCTGCAGCCATCTATCACCTAACACTGAAGTCGATGCAATGCATTTCGGCCTCACTAGGGCTGCGGAAAAATTCAAACTCCAAGAATTGTTTTTGCCAGAAAGTGCAATTAGTTCTAATCGATTTGCGATCCTCATCGACTTTTTTTTGATAAAGCTGGCATGAGATACGGACAAGTATCCATTCATCCAGACCAACATCCAAGGCTGCTCGTGAGGAATGAGGGATTTGATAATATTGTAAATGATATCACTGGTGTGCCAGGATCCAGCAGGAAAGTCGTATTTCGGGTGCGGCATCGCCCAGCCATCAACATGGCGTCTTTTGACCGCAATTCCGCTCAACCCTCTCCCTCGACCTAATTTTTCCACTGTTTATTTTTTATTCTTTTTTCAATAAATTTCTGGCATCAGATTAATCAATTTATAATTTTATATTTTGCCTTTTTTGAACTGGAACTTGCAGTTCGTTGCGATTCCACATCTTCTAGTATTTATAAGCAACAGTTGTTCCCTACGTTTTACTACCGTTTCTATAAGCTGGATTTGTTTGGGATCGAGTACAACACTAACACCGGATCCAAGTAACACTGTCCGGAAAAATCTTTAAAAATCTCGCCTTGTGACTTTCAACAGCAGCTCGTTGATATTCCACCAACTCAGTGCAACAAACTCACTAACAGCAAGCATTTTCGATAATATCTTTTGAAAATCGCTCCAGATTATGTTAGCAATGCCTAGTGCACAGTGTTAGCTTGGTAGGTAAAAGACCAGTAATGGGAATCGTCAGTTCATTACTGAACAACCAGTAATAGGATTCGAACCAGCGAATAGGTATGACTGAGTATTGCTCAAACTGGCGTATGGAACCTACCACAGGATCGCACGTTTCCCCCGGAAGGAATGTAGCAGAACGCAGTATTTCAATCGCAGCTAATGGCTATGAACCAAATCACTAATTTCTTCCGTTTGCTCAGAACCTATGAATTGGCAAAATTTTATATGTGAAATCTTGAAAGAAGTGAAATTTACAGCTGATAGAAATACTAGCTAGCTGATCGTAATGCTACCTTTACTATTGCTGTCCGCACCGCACACTTTTTTTTCTGAAAAACGTTGGGGATCCAGGGCCGGAGGGGAGGGGAGAGAAGCGAAGAGCCTTTCGTCCCCTCCCCCTCCCCAGGGGCTTAGGTAGCAGTTGTTTTACTGTACAAAGATCTGTTCGGTACCTTCTGTTGCCTCCACCCCTCTCCTAGGAGACTTGCGAGTGTCAGTTTAGTGTCCATCGAGGAGAGTGAGAGGGCAAGGGGGGGGGGGGGGGGGGGGGGGGGGGGG